TGTGTGTGTGTGTGCTTGATATACGAGCAGTCTACCTCACAGTCAAGGTGTATGTGTGTGTGCGTGTGTGTGTGTGCGTGTGTATGTGTGTGTTTGTGTGTGTGTGTGTGTGTGTGTGTGTGTGTGTGTGTATGTGTGTTTAAAGGAAGAGCACTCCACCGCATGTGTCTTACCTGATTGCAGATCAAGATGTCTTCTATGCCAGCTCGCGCCATCTCCTCGGCCTCTCCTACAGTCTGACAACATACCCCGACTGCCCCTGCCTTGATCTGTTGACACACTGGTTGATAAGGAACTGGCAAAATTGAAGGCAAGCAAGGCAGAGGTAGACCTAGAATAAGTTACTAGAAGAACCTTAACCGATGAGTAATGATGAAAGATCAGGATTATATAGCTTTTTGGAGACCACCCGAGCCAAAGAATAAATGGCCATCTATGATCATCAATGTCTGTCACAGATCTGGCACTTGGTGATGATCGTGGTGGTAGTTGTGGTTTTGAAGCGATAGCAGAAGTAGAAGTAGTAGTGATAATTGTATGGAAGAGGAAGAGAAGGACCCGGGAAAGGGGGAAGGAGGAGGACGATGAGAAGATGGGGCAGGAGGGGGAAAAGGAGGAGAAGAAAGGGGAGGAGGAACAGTAAAAGGGGGGACAAGGGGGAGGAGGACAAGGGGAGGGGGTGGCAGGAGAAGGAGAAGGAAGAAGAGGGGGTGGAGGAAGAAGAGAGTGTGGAGGAGCATCTGGAGGAGAATGTTGTGAAGGAGAAGGAGGAATACCAACGTCAACAACTGTAAGTGTAAGTAAGTGTATGGGTTTAACGCCCCTATCAACACAATAAGGTTATTTAAGCGGCATGACCTACGAATTCAACGTCTGTCTCCGATAAGACAGAGCCAACTGCGTTGAGGGCCTAGAAAACTCATCAAAACGACCAGAGTTCAAGAACACCCAGCCTGATAATCGAACCAGGGCCATCTGCTCGATCGTCCTGCATGATACCAACTGAGTTAAGGGAGGAAACCCAACTAATTATGACGTGTTCAGAACGGAGACGAAGACAAGGAAGAGGAGAGAGAACGGGACAGGTAAGAAACGGTGAGAAGATGTGTATTTCTGTACGTTTTATGCAGTTGTTTTTACGCCCCCATCGACACTATTGATATCATTTTGGAGGCTGGATTCAGCACCTCTTCCAGTGTTTGAGATGTGGCGGTTCTGTGCTTCTCCGTCGCACGCCGAAGACTTGAATTTGATTCCCGTGTGTGGAAATTTCTATTGTGTTGTCACGTCATACTCAGCCCAAGTTGGCCCCAACAGCCACAGTAAAAGTAGCCCGCCCCCTAAAAGATCTAAAAGGTATATAAAAAGGGGAGTAGAACATACATCCCAATCACCGGAGAACCAAAAGACACAACACAACAACCGAAAGGAGATCTCACCTGCCTCAAGGCAATCACTGGGCACTTGTGGTTTTTAATGTGCGGTCGTATGGCAACGTTCGGAAAAGGTTTCATCAACTCAGGGAGAGTTCGAAGGTTTGACTCCAAGCTGTCGAGACACAGCACGGCAGCAGGAGTCTCTATCTCGCTGACGGGATCGCCAACTTTACAAGGAGCCTAATGGGACATAAGTTAAAATAAGATAGATAAGATAAGATAAGATACTATGAGATGAGATGAGATGAGATGCTTGTGTGTGTATATATCCCACTTATCAGAAACAAATTAATAATGATGGTTTTTAGACAGACAGACATATTGATAAGCAGCATGTTGTGTCACTATGGAATCAAATAAAAGTACTAAAATGATAACAACAACAATAATAATACTAACACTATACTACTAATAATAATAATAACAACAAAGACAATGACAATAACAATTTGTAATAATAATAATAATATAATAACTATAATAACAAAAATAATATTAATAATGATAATAATGATAATAATAATAATATAGGTCTGATTCCTTTCAGCAAGCAACAGAAAGAATTGACAAGCAGGATATCTTGTCACTGTGAGTAGAAGATATGGCCTTCATTCAAATTTTAGGTGCCGAGTTCACAGGTATTATCAACAGACTTCAGAGAGACAACATCTATTTGAAGAGCTGTCCCCGGAGAGTTCGACGTGAAAACATTCCTGCTGTAAGATCTGGAATGTTTTTCCAAGTACTTTGAGAGAGATCAAATCTTTTGATTTAATCAAATGTCTGCTGAAGTCGTTTCTGTTTTTAAATTAATAAGATGAATATTTGGAATAATTTTCTTCAGTCAGAACACACAGAACACAACGTTTTATGTTACTGTTGTATGTTGTACTGTATTGTAAAGCTATCAGAGCCTGTGTACTTTATTCGGGGTTGAGCGCGATATAAATGTCATTTATTATTATTATTTTAAAGTGCCGGAGTTGCTGGTCATCACTGACATCCAAATTAATGCCAAAGAAACGTCAAGAATGACACATTCATGCGCTCTAGAATTTGATGTCCCAAACGTATTCGTGCGCAAGCACTCAAGGGTGTATATTCTCGGGCGCGCGCGCGCGCGCACACACACACACACACACACACACACACACACACACACACACACACACACACACACACATACA